AAAAGTGATTCGATCTGGATGAAATTTGATATACAGGGGTTTTTGAGATCGCCGATTCCAAATCTGAACTCAAAATTTACAAATTCAAAATGGCGGATCCGATATAGCAACACAAAATCCGAAAAGTGATTCGTATTCGATGAAATTTGATATACAGGGGTTTTTGAGATCGTCGATTCCAAATTTGAACTCAAAATTTACAAATTCAAAATGGCAGATCCGATATAGCAGCACAAAATCCGAAAAGTAACTGGTTTTGGATGAAACTAGGTATACAGAGGTTTTTAGAATCGCTGATTATCATTCTAAACTCAAAGTTTATAAATTCAAAATGGCGGATCCAATATGGCAGAAGAAATTGCGAAAAGTGATACGATTTGGATGAAATTTAGTATACAGGGGTGTTTGAGATCGCTGATTCCAAGTCTAAAATGAGACTTTAGAAATTCAAAATGGCGGATTCAATATAGCAGCACAAAATATATATATATAGTAAGATAGGAACGAATGATTACGTAATTAATTAAGATTTATTATGTACTAATATATTCAGTTACTTATGAATCAACTCAATATTTAGAAATGTGCAACAAGACTAAGTTGTTTGTGATAGTCTTTCATACCCCCACCTGGAAATTTTTCATATACACACAAATAGTGTTCCACCTTGTAAAAAGTTCTTGCATAAGGATGAACTCTATTTGGTTATCATTCTTTGAATCAACCGTTTCGCGTATATTTCTTCCGCATTCTTCAAAGGCCAATACCTTTTCCGTATTAGAAAGCTTATTCGTCGCGATAAGTCAACGTTTTAATATGTCAAACAGAGACTGAATTGGTACATTCGATTCATCTTACTGTTTATGTCGATTTACCGCTGACATTCAACATCAGAATCATGCAGAAATTCCTCATATATTAGGAGTATCCATATGTAACGTAATTAATCACTTTAAATAAGTGTTTATCATTTTCGCTCTTTAGATAAATGAAACTTTCGTGATGTGAATGTTGTTGTTATCCGAATTCTCGCTAAAATACTAGCAATAGCAGAGGCACACGATACGTGGGAATCCACCTTTCCTTGGAAAACAGATGTCACGTCGCACGAGGCCTAAAAAATGTTCCACGATAAATAACGGGGTTCTATATTTATTGTTGCAGAGGGATGGCGGGAGTCGGTGTTGGGGGCCCCGCGTCGGTTATTGGTGACTCTCGGAAGTCTCTCCAGGGACAGCTCGCCAAGTCCTGCCACGGTAAGTCAACAACATTGTTTGTCCTTACTCCCCAAAACTCACCCAAACAGTGATCTCGATATTTGTATCAGTCAAACGACTGCATGGAATTACAGGAAAATGTACACTGCGGTGGATAACTTAAACAGCATAACTATAGCGCCAAATTCTTAAACATTACAAACTTTTCAGTTGGTTGGCAGTAGAATAATTTGGTTCGAACGTATTAGAATCATCGAGGTTGAATTTTTTGGTTGGGTTTAAGAAAATGGAGTACTGTTCGATCGAGCTGATTTTTTGTATCGTAGATAGCCTTTGACCTGATGATTACAATGGTGGTTATCTTGACCCTTAACTCCCTCCACTCCTCCTCAGGGGTTAAAATCTGAAATGGTTCAAAAAGTGATCTTTTGCACCGATCTCGGTGAGTATATCATTTTCAACATTTCTTTTTTATGTGAAGGAACATTATAAATAGCACCAGGCCCAAAATCTACTGTCTGAGTAGGTTTGGGATAGTTTTTGGTGGGTCCGACAATATTGAATACCGTTAATGTACATACTGTCTACACGGAAATACTGTCTGAGTAAATTTGGGGTAGCTTTTGGTGGGGACGGCAATATTGAATAGACTTTTTGGACCATTTCAGTTTTTGACCCCTGGGGAAGGGAGAGTTAGGGGTCAAGATGACCACCATTGTAATCGCCGGGGCTACCTATGATAACAAAAAAATAAAAAAATAAAAAGAAAATAAATATACATGTCGAATTGAGTAACCTTCTCCTTTTTGAAGTTGGTTAAAAAATCAGCCCGATTGTAGGATACCTCATTTCCTTAGACTCAACCGATTTTTTTTCCATCTGAAGATATGTAGAAAATAATAAGGGATGATCAAATTACTTAAAGTCCTAATAAATGCTACACTGTCCAAAATTAACTTACGTTTTCCTAATTTACTAAATACAACATTCGATTTAATAAGATTTACATTCCTACGTTATAATCACGTATGGTAACTGTATGCATTTGTCTAAACGAAAACACCATCTTACTACGGATAAAAATATGTATGAAAGGTTCCATTTAAACAAATGAATTACGTAAACAATAAAATATAACTCAAAAAGCAACTTTAGGCATGTGCTATGCTCGTTAGTGGACATGTAATGGTCATTCATTAGCTTGATAAAAAAAAAAAAGAAATTAGTGCAGCATAACATTTTTTATCACTCGAAAAACAAGGTCGAATCGAGTACACGGATGTATAACCACACTTGGTCGCTTTTTACCACTGGCACAGTTCCTAACAAGTGATCGTTTGGAAAAGGTAGCTCTTTCTCCTCTGTGAAACCTTGTGACGACAATGATTGAACCAATTTTATTTGAACGAGAGTTTGGCCCTCTTTATAGGGCGCTTCTTCAGGTATTTGGAGTAATTTAAACATAGATAGGCATAAATCAGCAATTATCGCGCAGAATTGAAAAGATGAAAAATACTTATAAAATGGTACATATAATTTTACACAGCAGAGAGTATACGAATGAAATAAAGAAAGTACAATAATTTTGTATCTAAAGCAGATAAGTAAATAGGGTAATTAAAGTATAGTATCGATGTAAGAACTTCATTGCAGAAAAAGAAATAAATGAACAGAATATCAACAGTAATATCTATTTTTTACCAAAAATGGAAGAGTACCTACTTAAAGTTTTGTGTTCAATTAGGCTACCAGGAAGGTCAATGGTACAGTTATAACTTTGGCAATATAATGTTTTTTTAGATACAATCAAATAGATTATTTTACAAACCTTAACGAACAAGGATATAAACAAAAGATATGTATATTTTTGGACCCAGAAAGAAATGAAGAGTGTAGAATTTAACCCTTAAATGCCCTAAATTTCAAATTTGTACACTACCAATTGGTTTGTTTTTAATATTTGGTTGTATGTATCCATCAAAATTGATGCCTGCCTTTTTTCGAAATAAATACATATATAAAATACATATAGTGATATTTTTAATTAATTCTCCTTTTATCTGGCTACTGCAATAAATACATTGATATCTTTTTAAACTTAATTTAGAAAATCAGGCTTCTAAGGCTTAAAGGAGGTAGATAATTAAAATCCTAAGGCTAGTGACCCCCTTCTCATCCTCGCTAATTATCATCAACATACAAGAAAATTGATCAAACGTTCGTTACTCTTGTCACTATGCGCGAGCCACATTCGTCACCTCGGGGCAGAAAGCGTTCTTTCGATTCTGAAATGTAAATCGAACGGTGGCTGCCACCCTCGCGCATTTCGGATTGCCGAAAGCAAGGATCTACGCAACGCCTCCGGCTGAAATATGCAAATGACACGCAACGGCGTCAGATACGATCTCGTTACCAGCATGACTGGGGGAGGATAATATTTATCGTAGGGAGACCAAGGTTCGCGATATACCGCCAGTTCGGCAATCTTTCTTCCTTCGTCGTGAAATTTTATTGCAACCAACCTGCACCGTACCATCAACTTTTACCTTTTTCACAGAGATAACCATTTATCGCTACAACCCCCACGAGAATTTGGTTACGTGATATTAGGTGATTGCATAAGTTTGTGCCCGATTTCAAAACGAAGTTCAATGGGTTTAATGTTTAATTTCAAAGGATACGGTTATATTAAGCAATTATGTAGTTCCAACGATCTACAAACTTGTCGATTCTAGCTTCGAAGAAAGATCTTGATTTTTCATGAAAGACGTTCGTGAGGTACATTTTGATAGCTTCCTCGGAATTTAGATTCTTTTTATTCAAACTGTGTTAGAGTGACCGGAAGAGATGAACATCTGAAGCTTGTAGATCGTTGGAAAATAATTGGGCGAATTTCGTTTGAAATTAAGATACAAATATTGTTTAAATGATTGCATAAGTTCGTGCCTGATTTAAAAATGAAGTTCAATGGATTAAATTTCAAAGGATACGGTTATACTAACGAATTGTGTAGTCACCATTCTTTTCGAAAATTATTTTCCAAGGATCTACAAACTTGTCGATTTTAGCTTTGAAGAAAGATCTTGATTTTTCATGAAAGAAGTTCATGAGGTACATTTTGATAGCTTCCTCGGAATTATAGATTCTTTCCATTCAAACTATTCTGGATGGAAGAGATGAAAATCTGAAGGAAACAAGTTCAAATTTTCGAAACGTTCCAAATCTGCTTATGGATATTATAAATCAATAATAGAATCTCCTTTTCACCAGAAAACGTAAATATTACTTGAAAAAACAAGGTATAATTAACTACTGGGTCGTAGATTCGAAATGAACAACTTGTTGTACATTTTACATTTAATAAAAGTTGGAATTTTAATTAAAACTTATCCGCGCAATTGCAATTAGATTCACAAAATTATTACAGAAATGTGCATTAACAATTGTAATAACGTACAAAAATTGTTGCTTATTCATCGCATACGGAGTCACAATTAGAGATATATTTAAATGAAATACTAAAATGATACATTAAAATGCTAAGCCATTAATTTTGTACAGAACGATATACAGAAGTGATTTGCACAACCGTTTAATAAAGTAGAATAGATAATCTTTGTCACTTATTGTTCAAATAAAATTTCGTTAATCTCTGTCACGAACAACAAGTGGTTACAACGCGAAGAGAAAGTATCCCAGACTCGCGCGGAAAGGATTCTCTTGCACTCTTAAGGTGAATAGACGTTGCTTCTAAACTTTGGCCGTCTATTTCAGAAACATCTCGTATATCGCGCGGAAGTTTCCCGCTTGGAAAGAAAGCAAAGTTAGTTATTCATAGAGCTAATCAAAGTTCGTATATTTTTCCCTCGCGAAAGCACCGTTTCAAAGTACGGCTAATTGAAAAGTAGAGGTAGATGGAAACTTTAATGTTCAAGTTGCGATGATAAATACCGCCGGCTTAAAAATTCACCAACTGAGAATACATTCTCAGTCAAGAAGTAGAATACCAAAAGAATAGCATACAATGAAGCTTAGAAAGAAGAAGTAAAAGTTCGTACGTGAAAAAATAAAATAATTAGAGCTGCATCGTGGAGTTTATAAATATTAATTTGATACCAATATTCAGTATCAGCTACTTTGTGTATTATGTATTAATTATCAAAAACAATGTGTATTTGTTTAGGAGTACCCTCAATAATTAATTTTTTTAATTTCGTATTTATACCTTGCGATTACCTTAACTCTCATAATTTTTTTGATTGTGTTTCTGCTCGCTAGTTCACACGCTCTATAAATTCCTCTATGTTCTACGAAGCTCGAACTATGACGAGGTCGAGAATATCAAAGTAAATGTTCGACGTTGCTTGTTTACTTGCAAAGTTCGTGTAACTTATTTAACCTTGTTCGTACTTTGCAATTTTCTCTGTATCGCTCACAAATGCCTTGAAACATATGTAGTTTAGAAGATATTCTTATAAACTATTCCTCTTATAAATAACGATGCTTTCATACTTTATTTTTTATTTGATCGAACGTATGCAGTTTTACATAAGAAAAGAAAATTGTAATCAATACCGAAAGAAAATGTTTTTTTGTAAATATTCACTTTTATATAAACATTTTTGAGACCATGAAAATAGTTGTCTTTAATGTAAAACAATATATATATATATGTATATCTTTAATATACCACGAAAGTTTAAAAAAAAGGATAAATACAAAAAAGGATTTAATAGTCATTTTTGACAAAACTGAGACGTGTTATTATAGTAATAAATGAATGAAACGTTTACAAAGAAAAAAAAAGAAAGGAAGCTGTTCTCAGAGGTTGATGATCACAATTTTTATTAACTTTACTTGCTGTAAACATTAAGTTGAAATTACAATGATGTTTTATAATGTCATTATTATTTCAATTCTTGTAATAATATACAATAATTATTGTATACAATATCGTTTGCAATAATATAGAGTATAACAATTGCGTACAGAGTCACAATTAAAGATAATATTTAAATAAAATACTAAAATGATATATT